CTACGGTTTTATTGGGATCTTTGTAGATCATTCGTGATTTTCTCAGAATTTTTCTCGTGTTTTCGACGATTTTCTTCGAGTTACCGTGGGGCATTTGTCGCTTTTCTCGAGCTTTTCAAGTGATGTTCGCTATTCATTTTTGTTTATATAAATTCATGCTTACACATTTCTTAAATTCTTTTCATTATACTCGTTTACTTGTACCTGTGACACCGACCTCATTTACGGGAGCGGCCGACGCGTCAGGTAGACCGGTTTATTTTATATTTACAACGTTTCGCTTTCTTCACTGTACTTTACTGCATATATATACAACTCATGCTTGCAATGCTACTGTTTATTGTTTACTGCGTTTCGTAGCATGTTTCCCTTTTATTAATCATGTTGCTTCTATAGACTTGCAATGACCTTTTAGGATAGAGGACAGCAGGACATCCAGTTTAGAAGGCACCCTATAGAGAGCCACTGACCTAACAACTGTACATTTATACACACCAAAACCCCAAACCTATGATCGATGTGTTAAGGAGTTTAGAGCAGTTTTTCCAAGAAGCGGAGTGTGGAAGCAAGTGGACGGAGAGCGGCGATCGAGACCACGACAACGACAACAGGGTGTAGGACGTCTCTTCAGAGTTCAGGTCCAATCGTAGGATAGTTGGGAAGTCATCGGGGTTCTCCCCGGATCTGTGAAATCCCCTACCTTTCACTCCATTAACTTCTAAAAATAATTGTTCACATTTTGAGTCATTCCCCTTTGATTTCCTCACATTTAAACTTAGAAACTTAAACTTTGCAATCTTGAAGACAAAATCACAATTTAATCGAGGGTCTTCTTAGGTGATTTTAATTGTCTAAGATGTAATTAACTTTAAGGGTTTGCCTCTATAGAGAACTTAAGGACTCAGCTTAATAAAAACATTATTTAACTATCTGTGTTAAATAACAGAAGTTGTCGACTTATAAAAAAAAGGTTTCGCAGACCAAACGGACGTCACAAACTCTTTAGTTTAGGTGGTTAAGTCTACTAACAAACGGTATGTTTATCCTTCGGGATAGCGTGTTATTTGCAATATCGTGTTCAACATCCTAAACTATCAAATATGTGAGATCTGTTCGGTCTTACTTTTCTAAGCTATATATATGTATATATATAAATATTTTTTTCAAAATTATAGTCATATATAAATTAAATTAAAACATTTTTTTCAAATTTAAAATGCTATTTTATAAAATCATATACATATAAATTAAATTAAACCTTAAATCATTTCATCCCTGAATAATTTTTTTCGGCCGACAACAGCAAGCACTTAAGACGGCTAAAAGGCAATAAAACAACAAGGTGGGGGTATATGGGCAACTAAAGCGATGTAGGGAGGAGAAGACAATATTGGCAGCTGAAAGGAAGAAAACTGCATGAAAGACGAGAATATTGATTGCTCTGGGTAGCTACAACAAAGAAGGCGATGAGGAATGACAGAGAGTGATGTGGAAAGGATATAGAAGGGTTGAGGAAAGCATAATCACCATTTCGAAAGCGAGACACAACCAGAGCATCACTCGATCCTTGGAAACAACCCTAAAAGGAAAAACCAGAGACGTCAGCGGCTGTCCCGAGCAAGTAAACTCAAAAAAATTGACAATTCAAACTCTAATACAATACATATATAAGAAGGACTAGAAAAGAAAGAAAAATAAAAAGAAACATGTTGGAAATTAGAAAGAAAATACAGGAAGAAGCATTTGGTTTGGTTACGCCCCGATCGCAGGAACTGGGCGCCCGATCCTCACGGACAAGTAACAGCATAACCCTTTTATTCCTCGCGTCAAATGATAATAGATAGGGATGTTTCTAGTAGAATTCAAGTTGGATGGTTGAAGTGGAGGAATGCAACGGGCCTATTGTGTGATAGAGAGGTGCCGCTTAGACTTAAAAAAAAAAATTATAAACTGGTGGTGATACTTACAATGCTTAATGGTGTGGAATGTTGGCCCGTAAAAAAGAAGCATAAAATTAATTCAAGTATTGTTGGCCTATAAAAGAGATGCATAAAATTAATTCAAGTATTGTTGAGAAGAGAATGCTCAGGTGAATGACTGGCTTACACTTAGAGACAAAATGCAAAATGAATATGTCCATGAAAGGGTTAAAGTAGCTGAAGTGATAAAAAAAAATTAGAAAGAGTTGTCTTAGATGGTTTGTTCACGTTAAACGCCGACTATCTGATGACCTTGTTAGGAGAGTAGATGTTTTAATTTTGACTTATGTTAAGAAACGTAGAAGTATACCTAAAAATACTTGGATCTGTTGTATAAAAAAGATCTTAAATTAAAATTAAATAAAAAAGGCACTCATAGGACAATAGAAAAAAAGGATTCATATAACCGACCCCACTTAGAGGGACAAAGGCTTGTTGTTGTTGTCATTGTATCCATCGAGTGAATATTCATCATTCATAGCACATATAGAAACTATATAAGTTTACTTTTTCAATATCATATCTACAAGAAATGCTACTATTGCCATCCTAATATACTCATTATCAAATTTATATGTCATAATTTCGTCACATATCTATCTTAACATTTTGATTACCAACTCGTTCAATATGATTATTAGTAAGAATTTTAATGCTGACACTCAATCCATCTTAACACTCTTCAATAAAAACTAATTTGGTCAAAGCATTAGAGAGAGATTTTAACAGAAATTTCACAAACGTGCTATATGCATTTTTCTTATCATCGTCAGTTTATGGTTAAGAGATGATGCACTATATAGTTTAAAAATTACAAAATTATCCACATACTAGATAACTTATTAGAAGACAAGCAGAACAAACAGAAAAAAAGTTTAAAGAAAAAAAAACTAATTCCATGCCAATATCTCCAAAAGTCGAGGTTGATTGTTAAAAGCTCTTTCTCGTTGGTTAAATGACATGATAAAAACAGATACTCTCAAAACAAAATTTTCAAGTCCAATGCACAAGCTTGGAGCATGTGCGAATTCACATATTGAATGCTTCCAAAAGTTGCAGGTAAAAACATGCAGAGGACCAGTCAGATTTATGTTACTCCTTCATAGACTAATTTTCATCATCAAAACTGCACAATGCCATGAATAGGTGGAATAAACTGATTAGAAGAATAGAAAAATTTATCATCTAGGTGTAGAAAGCATTGACTACAATATCACAAGTTATTTTTTTCAGTGGAAATTCGCAATTATGTAGCATTCTGTAAGAAAAACACAGCTCCTCTACACAATTATCTTCTTTTCACTCAAGCATGTTTCAATTTAAAAAAAATAAAAAATTTACAAATTAAGTTATTACTTGATTTAAACTTCAGAGTGATGAGATTGAAGGAATGTACAGAAACACGGTTGTTCATCGAGTGGAATGGATAGCCGATAATGTACAACCAGAGAACAGAAGTAAGACTAAAAAGGAAAACACAAATAAAAGAATTCAAAAGGAAGATTTGTGGGCAATAGAAAGAATGAAAATTAAGAGAACTCCGAATAGAGGAATTTGGTTAACTAGATAATGAAATTAAAGTTACAAGGGGAGTGATCAACGCCATCATAAGACCCCTCTAAGTGATTCTAAGATACATATTATATATAGTACATGAGAGAGCATCATTAAAAGAATATATGAATGATTAGACAAATTGTTGTGAAGGAAAAAAAACTGATCCCATGAGCACCATGTGTTGATATCAGCAGACATTGAGAAAGTAAAAATAATAATATTCGTTTGAAATAGGACTCGATCAAGATACAACTTAAAACCATATGATTTCATCTATTGTTCAAACAGTACAGAAGTGTTTCACAAGTTACAAGACATTTCCATAAAGAGTCATAGAAACATGCAAAAAAAATTCCATTTTTTTAAAGGTGAAAAAAAAAGAAAAGTCTGGTATGCAAACACACCTTCCTAGAATTTAGCATCAGGATTGGGTCAAGATACAACTTAGAACTATATGATTTCACCTATCGTTCAAAGAGAACAGAAGTGCTTACAAGTTACAAGACATGTCCATAAAGAGTCCTAGAAACAAGCAAAAAAATTTCCATTTTTTTAAAGGTGAAAAAAAAAGAAGAGTCTGGTATACAAGGAAAAATATTATGTCAGGACTCCTAACGTAGAGCTACGTTCGGATTGAAATATTTGGTTGTTACGGGAATATTACATCTGCGTTATTTGAAAAAGTGATGTGTTATTCGAGTATTAAATAGTGTTATTCGAGTATTAAATAGTGTTATTTGATTATATTGAACTGTTATTGAATATTCCCCTGCGTTACTTGATTTTGGACTGTGTTATTCAGCATATTCCCCATATTATTTTAATTTCCACTATGTTATTGGAATAACACAGCCCCAAATCAAGTAATGTAGGGGAATATTTCAATAACACTTCAACCCCAAATCAATTAACGTGATGGAATATTCCAATAACACCGCAAAATACTTGAATAACACCATATAATACTCGAATAACACATTATTTTTACAAATAACGCAGATGAAATATTCTTGTAACACAACCGAATATTCTAATCCGAACGTAGCTCTACGTTAGGAGTCCTGATGTATTATTTTTTCGGTATGCAAACAAGCCTTCCTAGAATTTAGCATCAAGCAGATATCCCACAACAGATTTTGCTGCTCATTAGCCATGCTGATCTACTCAATTCATACTCAAAAAGTAAGAAGAAAACAAACATTTTCTTTCCAATCTTGGTCCAGTGTTTATTTTTCTACCCGGGAGGTTCGCAACAAGGTCTCCAACACAAACAACACAGCTCCTTAGACAAACTCATATAAAACTATAAATATGTTAGACCGATATAATTTCTTTAAATTTGCAGAACACATGAACTTCAGTTCACAATAAAATGAAAACTAATATATATATATATATATAGTCAATATCCAAAACACCACAAAATAACAAATATAAAAGAAGGGATATCAATTATACACTAACCTGTGTTGCCTTATATGGGATCGAGTGTCAACTGGAATGGTGGATAAGCTTCTGGAAGAAACAAATCCAAACCCTTGGTCTTGGCATGCATGTGATGACACTGTAAACGATAATAAGGTGATGTGTATTTAATTTACTATTTTGGAGAGATAACTGTCAAAACTGTCCCAACTCTTTGTAGAGAGCAATTTTAGTCCTGGAGTACATAAAAGTGTCAAGATAATCCTCAGCCTCTTTTAATGGGTGCTAAAATAGTCTTTTAATCTGGCCAATTATAGCCCAGATTAAAAAAATCTAGGGACTATTTTGGCACTTTTATAAACTTTGGGACAAAAATGGGCCAAAGTAATAGTCAATAGACTATTTTGACAATTTAATCCTATCTTTGAATAGGGAGGAAACACAATCAAATCATTTTACCCTAAACTACATGGATAGCTAGTATGGTATATATTGAACCTGAAAGTGAAGTGTTTGTTTCATCATGGCATTCAGCTTCTTCAGAAGCTGCCACTCTACTTGATGAACTTACATCCTGCCTTCTCTTCATTCTTTCATGTTCATCTTGAATCTCCCGATGCCGCAACCTTATTTGTGCTTCAATGACCTTTTGTTCTTCCTGCAATTATGACTGTTCTTAGTATGGAAACACTCCCATCAAAATATAAGAATTTCCTTTTGCCCCTGGATAATGAAAAGTCAATTTCAAACAAGGAATGAACAGAGAAGTAAGAACATCAAGATCAAAAGAGCTTGCTGCTCAAAAAAGTCATATGCCTGAAAGAGTCAGAAGCAACAGCAACATGAAAACTTACAATCTGTTCGATGCCCCGTTCCTCCCTTGTCTTCTCACCACGATATTCCACAGCATAGTTTGAAGTTTTACAGTAGGGACATCTTGTAGTGTTAAGTGAAAATCTCTGTATTCGGTTATATCAATCATCCTGATTCTTCAATGGAGAAAAAAAAAAGAAAAAACTCAAAAAGGATACTGTGTTGCTCGTGACGAATGAGGTGGCTTCATTTGTAGAAAACATTCTGGCAGGGGATATATTGCATTAACGTCAAAATCATGGATGGTGCAACAAAATATAATATACTTAGTTTTCCATAAGAGATATTGCTCGATAACTACATGTACCTGTGCATATTCCTTTCAAACAGCACCTAGATCGGTTCAAACTCGGATAGTACTGACAATAAGAATAATTGCATTGAAAGTTAGTCAATAAGTTCCATGTCTCATGCACATAATGGAAAATTAACCAGTTCCGTTCTGATTAAGAGAAAAGCAACAAGCAGTCAGCTAAAGTTATAATCAATGCAGAAGCGAAACCAATAGACTACCTACATCAAAGCTAGCAATTCAACTCCTAGAAAGCTATATTTGGGTCCAACCAACCCCATCTAAATTGAGATATGAACAGCTCAATTTTCACAGGAATTTGGAAAAGATATAAATATATTACAGCAAGAAGAACGTAAAATCTGCCTTTCTAATACGGTAACTGCTCTGCAGTTTCCCATCCAATTCAAACACCACGAGAAATAAACTTTAAGAGCTTAAATAGTTGTTAACTCAAAGATATATTCCATGGCAAGACAGCATACATCTTCTTTTGATTCCTATCCAAAACAATAGCACGTTTGCAGATTGATCCTATTGTATTTGAGCAGTAAGAGCAGCAAAAACAGACAAAACTAACAAGAAAAAGAAAATTACAAACTGAATCGAAGACATGGATTCTAACCAGAAAACAGATAGGGCATTCCTCCTGATCAAAAATGCATTCATCGCTTCCAGGGTAGCAAGGCGCTAACTTGCAGTCGAGAATGAGCTTTCTCAGCTTTTTGTGATCGATGTCCCGGTGAAGGTACAACCCTTGCGGCCTCGTATACTTCTCATCAACCACCTGCCTCCTCTTCCCGATCCGATTCCCCATCAATCCAAGAATACCAAAACACAAATTAAAACCGCTTGCTCCTCCAAAGTATACGCTCAACGCTCCCGCTCACAAGAAAACCCCCCCTCCATACAACCTCCCCTCACTTCCATTAACCCCCAGGTGCGCGGAACCTGCCAAAGAGAATTACGGTGAAAATCAAACCCTAGATTTCCCACTGAAACCGAGCAGCTCGTGACATAAGAGCAAGCCGGATAAATAAGCGGCGCTTTCCTGGCTTCCTTCCCAATCTCCCCCTTACAGGTGAATGAGGAGAGAGAAAATCGATTGGAGGAAGAAAACGCTGTACGATCCGTGAAGCACGAGAAAGATCGAGGGATGATTGGGAAGAGAGAGACTGCGATGACACAGATTTACAGAACTTTCTCTGCAACCCACGACCTACGCCAAACCCTTGCTAAGAAGCATCCTTCTCCCTGTCTCATCGCTCTCTTCCACCCTTTATGGAGTTATGGAGACTCGCATACGATTATCTTGTCTTTTGGGTAAGTTCTTTTATGCGGCCATAAATATATATTCGTTATTTGTTATTTTGTCTGTACCAAGGGTACATTTAAGAGATATTTCTTTTTTTTTTCCAAAATGTTATTATTTTTTAATTATTTATTTTATTTATTTTAAACTTTTTTATGCTGAGGAATTATTAGAGTAATAACAGAAAAAAAAAATTTATTCATATAATATATTGTATTTGTTGACAAAATAAAATATGGGTGACAGATTTTTAAAACTCACATAGAAATATAATGCATTAATTTTGCTTCGAATGAAACAACTCATTTGTAAAATAGGTAAATTATAAGTAACAACTAATGAACTGTGAGTATATGGACGAAGAGATTGAAAGTTGAAAATCAGAAGATTTTTACATGAAAATATTATCTAAACTTATATTGTATGCCAATTACTTTTCTATTCCTTTTTTATTTTGTATTAAGCAAGCATGGCTTCAATATGCCAATAAGAAAATAAAGAGATAGTGTCATATTGATTGCTTAATGGAACTAAAATTGATCAATGATTTTCCTCTTTGGGGTGGTGTGGGAGGGGATCTTCTTTAAACAAAAAGTAATTGAATTAATTTCACATTTTTTAAGATACAAAATTTATGCATAATCTCTTTTATCATATTTTTTTTAAATAATTTATTTTCCACATATTTTTTTTGTTGTAAGTAAATATGTAATGGCAATTAGTTGAATGCTTTTGACATATAAAAGTTGCTTGTCAATTGAGCCTTGTTGATTCACTCATATACATGATACGCCACCAACAAATTTTCATCATCTGACACGAATGTCGAGGCATGGCGCGAATTTCGAGATAATATTTTAAGCATGAAACATTCAAATCTTGATAAAAATTCATCCAGAACTTTAATTTCAGCAAACTTATAGTCAAACTGACCGGCTTGATGAGACAGACCTAATAATATGAAAACTAACTCAATCTGAATCAAATCAAGCCCAGATCAAGTCATTAAACCACGCTTAGATGATTTCCAGACACATTTGAACGATCAAAAGGTTGTCAAATATGATAAGTTTATATTTGAATCAAGCAGCTCGACGTGAAGAATCCAACGAGCTCAATATTACTTAATTCTGACATCATTAAGGCACTCAAATGTCCGGTAAAAGTCGTATGATCGAGGGAAGCTCTCTGGACCTTCCGATCAAAACAGTTCATATTCCTGCATTAATTGCACTCAGAACATTATAAATAGAGTTTCACCCCTCTCATGAGCAATGGTGAAAGCCTTGGGAGAGAACTTGAAACTCTGAGAAAGAGCTGAAGTCCAACATCACAGTCAACCGTTGTTGAACACTGTCGATTGTCATCGAACAACATCAATCGCCGTCAACCATCACCGACCGGGGTCCACCTACCGCCGTCGACCACCACCGATCGTCGTCAACCACCGATGACCAGATACCTTCAGTTAAAGTTGTAACTTGGAAAATCTAGTAAATATCTCCCTTCTGTGGGACAAGAGCTCGCACTACGGTCCATGTGCCAACTACGACCTACGTGGTCATTAACTCATGCAGCTCCCAACTCCGGTCTCAACGGTCTATGGATGTCACCACTGCTCACCACTACAGTCTATATGCCAACAAAGACCTACACAGTCATCAGCTCATGCAGCTCCAGACTCCGGCCACCGCGCCCTATGGACGCCATTCATACTCACCCCAACAACCTACGTGATTTGCAGCTCGTGCAGCTCATGACTCTCGCCTCACGGCCTACAAACGTCATTCATTCTCGCCCCATTAGCCTACATGGTTCACAGCTCGTGCAACTCCCGACTCCAGTCCCCGCGGCCTACAAACATCATTCATACTCGCCACTACAGCTTATGTCGTCCACCGTTCCCGCAACTTACTACTACGGTTTCTCTAATCAATTAACGATTCTGAAGCAACCTTCTACAACAATCACGACAGTAATATCACCACAACAATCAACAATGACCCTTGTAACCTGCTGTAGTTAAACTATACAGCTTTGCAATTCCATTTTCCCTAATTTATGAGAAAAATGAACATATGTACTCATAATTCATAGTGGATTATTTCAACTGGACTAAACCTCGTGGTTTTCTCCCTCTCAAAGGTTTTCCATGTAAAAGGTTGTGGTGTCTTCTCCTGCTTACTTCTCTTCTTTTATTTGTGTGTGTTGAATTCTCGTGTAATGCTAAGACGATAATTCATTACTCTGCCGCTACAAATTTTCTAGCACGCATCAATACATGCCTAGATCTATATTTGGATCCATATCACATAAACTAATAATATGGATAGCAAGTATAGATTTTTTATGGTATATGCTCATATGCTTAGCAAAACCAAATTAGTAAAATTCCTTATCCAGTTCACAAGTCTTAAATTCTTGAAATAACTATCTTAACTTGCATTTAGACTAAATTTAATCAGAATGGCACATATGTGAATTAATTGTTTTGTTATAACTATTGTAAAAAGCAAAGATTCTACTTGCCTTATGGTGGTTATATTATTTTTCTCTAACAAGCATTCAATAAGCTCGAGCAATTAAAAATTTATTACCAATCCCATGCCTTGTATTAGTATGAAAAGGTGGTATCCATGGGCTTCAATTTTTTAAAATGCCGATATAATTGTAGATAAGACTTTACCTAAAAAATTTGCCCTCATTTTGTGGGACTTTAAGATACGAGATTTGAGGTTTCTCAGAGATAAAAGCTCTTGTGGTTAGTTACCCCTCTAGATAATAGGAATACACTTTGAATTAAGATTGATTATTAGAACTTTAATTGCTTAGCTTATAGTAGCATACTTGGGTTTTATGATATAAAGTGTATCACCGTATGCTTTGAACTTATGATGAAGAAAATCATGATTAACTAGATCAAGATCCCGTGATTTATTCTGACCAAGTTTCCATGGATTTTGTCAACTTAGTTGGAGGAGGTGTCCAACCTAATAAAATAATCCTTATTGACATCTATGGGTTGCTTCAATTAAGTGAAATCTACTAAAACTAGAGTGAATATTCATCTAAAGGAACAATAATAGATTAACCTTAGCTAAAGGAAAATTTTATGACATATGGTGTATACCATATGATTCACAGTTTAAAAGTGCATAAAATTGTTGAGGAACATATAGGCTATAGTCTTGATAAAAGCATTAGAGTCCGTCAGGCCAAATCACCGGATAAAAAGACTCTAGTAGTAACCGCTTCACTTCTAGAGATTACTGCCCAAACTACATGTATAGATAACTCATGTCACAACCTTATTAGCATGAGATTATTTCATTGTGAATGTAATATTATACTTAACATGATATTGACACTTTGTAAGTTTGGGTTAACATCAAATTTATCACCCTTGACAAATGGTTGTAGAGGGTGTATGGGTTTGTTTGAAGCTTTAATGATTTATTTCATTTGAATATTCATTTCAATATTTTTGTAGTTTAAATACATGAGTTATGAACTTGAATCATTCGGTTGAGATTTACTTTCATTAAGATCATCATTGAGAAATTTTTATTTACTTACAAAAAAATTACTTAAATGTGATTAAAGGCATTAGTCCTGTAAACTTCAATTATAATAAATAGGAGGACATATTAACTTATTGGGAGCTTAGTTTTTTCAACTCTAATCTTCAACTTCGCACTGCATTCTCAAGTATGAAGTCTAATTTTCACAGCAAAAATGAAAATTCACATCGAAATCTAAGGTGTTAGTTCCGAAATGAAAATTCACTTTGAAATATAATATGCATTACAAAAATGGGAATTAAGGCAATGAAATTTAGATTTTGATGTGAATTTTCATCTTAGAATTGGTAAATTAGATTCGAAGTGAATTTACATTCTAAGCATGGAAATTAGACTTCACATTGGAGGATGCAATATTTCCAGATGTTTAGTCAATCGTGTAGTGGTTGCGGCGACGAGCATCTTTAATTATATGATTGGTTGTATAGTAGAAAAAAAATACAAAACAAATATGTCCGTGATAGGGTTGCAGTAGGTACAATTGGAGATAAGATTAGAAAGAGACATCATGAAGTCTAAATGAACCATTAGAATGACTTTTTCTTAATACAAAACAATAATTAGTGCTCAGTTGATTGATTTTAATTTTGACTCAAATTTCTTTAGAGCTGACAATATTTAAGCTCAAAATCTCAAGGTTAACAACCTATTGATGTTGTTAAGGTTGTCTAAGATCGATAATCGACTAACATTCATCAATATTTTATCTTTATTTTTGTTTGTCACCATAACTACATCAACTCATTCACGAATATATTTCATTTACACTTTCTCAACAACTGTAATGTCAGTGATCTGCATGGGGTTTGCTACTGGCTTTTCACTTGGAAACAAAATATAAAACAAATATATTTGTGAGCGGGTTGTCATAACAACAGTGGCATACACTATTAGAGGGAGACACCTTAATCAATTATGAGTCATTGTTCAACCGCTTAATGATCTTCGATGGAATTGGCATATTAAAATGTTAAACGATCCGACTTCGAGTCGAGATGATGTAGGTTCCAAATAAATTTGATATGCAGATTCCCAGTATTAACTGTACCTCAGCGCGTTTATTTCATCTCAAATTTCACATGCAAGTTAAACTTATAATCAATTTCAGAGTGATTAACATTTTTTGAACCAATTTCTATTCTGGATTCGACAAGTACCTCAGGATTAGATAATTCTGGATTTGAAGGATTTATAAAAAACCATTCAAACTAAATCTTGTATTCAACCAAACAACCCCTTAATCTAATGACTAACATTCTACGCTGACCAACATTCTACGCCATAGAATATTGCATGTCTCATCACCATCTTATAAATTTTTTTTTCAAGTCTAAGCAGTATTTTCTATCACACAATAGGCCAGATGCATTCCTCCACGTCAGCCAACCAACTTGAAATCTACTAATTAATCACA